GAGAATTGGGGAAATAGCAGCTCTGATGGCACATCTTCCCTACACGGTATTCTTTCGGGACAAGGTCACACTCAGGCTACACCTGAAATTCACACCTAAGGTGACCACCCCTTTTCACATGAACCAAATGATCCACCTTCCAACTCTTTACCCGAAGCCACACCGTGATAACAGGGAGGCTATACCGCACACACAAGGCGTTAGGAGCTCCCTGGCCTTTTACCTGGATAGGGTGAAGGCTTTTAGGAAGTCTCCTAGGCTTTTCCTTTCTACTGCAGAAAGATCCAAGGGCTCAGTAATATCAGCCCAGAGACTTTCCATGTGGGTCTCAAACTGCATTAGACAATGTTATCGGGTTCACAACATGACACTTCCAGATGGTATTCTCACACACTCCACGAGGTTGATCTCTTCATCTGTCGCCTTCCTCAAGAATGTCCCTACAACAGAAATCTGTCCATACCTTCGCAGAACATTAAGCGACTGGGGACTCCACCTCTGATGCCATCTTTGGCTCCACAGTACTGTCATCTGTAACTGACTCGACTCCAAAGCCCCAGCCTCCCGTGGGGATATTGTTCGGGAGTCCTACAGTGAAGCACCCCGTAGGGATACTACTTGAAGGAGAAGAGGAAGTTACCTTGTGTAGTAACAATTGTTCTTTGAGATGTGTGTCCCTATGGGTGCTCCACAACCCACCTTCCTCCCCTCTACTTCAGTTCTTGTCAATGACTCTGCGGTAGAGAAGGAACTGAGGGAGGGGGGTTAGCCTGTGTGCACTGGTTAGCCTTGTGGCCGGGGCATGAGGAGAGACGGTGCATGTGAGGGCTTATTGGACACTGCTACCGAAGTTCTCCGATCAGCAGCGCAGGGACGCAAGCATACCTACAGCGAAGCACCCATAGGGACACACATCTCGAAGAACCATTGTTATTGCGCAGGGTGAGTAACTTCCTCTTCTTCACATAACACACAGTCAACTTTTGGAATTCATTGCCATGGGATATTGTGAAGCTTCAAAAAGAATTAGATAAGTTCATGGAGAATAGGTTCATCAATGCCTATAAGCTAAGATGGTCAGGGATGAAACCCCATGCTCTGGGTGTCCTAAGCCTCTAACTGCCAGAAGTTGGGAGGGGACAACAGGGGATGGATCACTCAATAATTGCCCTATTCTGTTAATTCCCTCTGAAGTACCTGGCATTGGCCGCTATCAGAAGACAGGATATTGGGCTAGATGCACCATTATTCTGACCCAGTATGGCCATTCTTATGTTTTAAAGGCAAAAATCTGTCATCAGATGCTTCCATTGACTTCAGTGGAGTTGTTCTGTGTAACGGTATAATTTTCCCTTAATTTTGTTTTTGAAATTTTCAAATACCCTTTTTCCTTTCTGATTTTCAACCAATCCAGGACTATCCTGAGAAAGGTCATTCTTCTGGATTTCTAGCCTAATTTTGCTGAATCAAAAAGTTTGTCAAAGCTTTGGGTAAACATTAAACTGAACCAAACCTAAATTAGGCTGGTGGTATTTTTAAAGGCTCTTAGTGCTGTTCCAACTGCTCCCATAGAGGTCTGTGATGGGTTTTACTGTGAACTTCAGGGGGATTAGTGTTAGGCAAATGCTGAGAGCTTTTGAAAATCTCACCCTAAACTTTTTAATATTTCTCCATCACTGTGTCACAGTCAGCTAGACTACAAATGGGGGGAGAGTGAGATGGCTTCCCCATGAGAAAAAATATTCTTTCTCTTCCATTGCTCTTAGTAATAGGACACATGACTCAGCTGGTGATGTCCCATGGAGAGTCACCAAATTTGATATATATGATGGAACTTCGAATTGCCTGTAGGCTAAATGTTTACAATGAAAGAAAATTTTACCAAAATAAGCAGGTTTGCTAGGCTTATCCTGAGGGGTTTTGCCATCTGCAATTATTTGAGCATCGTTTTTATGTCAATCCTTTGATATCTACTCAGAGTACCAATCCAGTTCTAAATCCTTAAGTCCAATTATAGTTTTGTAGGACATTGTTAAATACACTAACTGATATTTTAGTGAATTGATAACTTATTACTCATTTCATTATCAATGAAAATTACATTATTTGTGGGCTTCCTCTGGAAAAAAAAATGTTAATGGAGCCAATGCCATATGTAAGGAAATCCAATATTATAATATATTTGCTTTATTGCATATTACAATTTTTCTTAAAATTATTTTTCTTATTTGCTCAGCTTAGTAAACGTACTAGCTAATACAGGAATTCTATGTGAGTCAGAAAAAAATGCTCATTTCTGAAGATACACTTTCACGTTGGGAAGGTTTACATAAGAATTTTTTTTTTTTTGGCCAAAATAGTGCTTGTCAATTACCAGATATTCCTGCCAGAGTGAGTAAGCCCCAGTTCTGCCGCCCTTATGATATTCAAAGGTATTGCTGTGGAGTTAAGGTTTAACTCACTATAAGGGAGGCAGAACTGGGCCTTTGAGAGTATGTCTATTCAAGCTATGGCAGTGAGCCTCCCAGCCCAGGTTGAGAGACTTGGGCTAGCATGCTACAAATAGCTGTGTGAATAGCACTTGGAAGTTGTAGCTTGGGCTGGAACTCTGGGCTTGTCTACACTACCGGCCGGATCGATGGGCAGCGATTGATCCAGCGGCGGTCAATTTATCGTGTGTAGTATAGACGTGATAAATTGACTGCTGATCACGCTAGCGTCGACTCCGGAACTCCACCTCAACGAAAAGCGCAAGGGGAATCGACGGGAGAGTGTCTCCCATCGACACACCGCAGTGATAACACCGCGGTAAGTAGATCTAAGTACGTCAACTTCAGCTACGTTGTTCAAGTTGCTGAAGTTGCGTAACTTAGGTCGAACCCCCCTCCCCCATAGTGTAGACCAGCCCTCAGACTCTGAAGCCTAGGGAGTGGGGTGGGCTTCAAAGCATGAGCTCCAGCACAAGGCACAACTTGAAAGACCTGTCTACACAGCTATTTTTAGAGTGCTAGCACAAGCCCTGGAAACCCAAATCTGTCAACCTGGGTGAGGAGACTTTCTGCCATGAGCTGTGTAGGCATACCCTAAACTATTAGCCACTGCCAACCTCTAGTTTACAACATACACCCAAACTACATTGAAAGAGCGCTATTACTGTTGCAAAGTCAAGCTATTAGAAGTTAGGAAATGTCAGAATTAAAGTTATGTGTGCATAATAATATAATAATTAAGGCTCCATGTTTGTCACGGAGTGACCTCCATGACTTCTGCAGCGGCCCATGCAGCTGGCCTGGGAGCCGCCTGCGCCGCTCGGGCAGCCCCGGGGATAGTTGCACCGGCTGCTGCTGGGGAAGTCTCGGGCCCCTCTCCACCCCCCAACAGCAGGAGTTTGGGTGTGGGGGGCTCAGGACTGGAGACTAGGGTGTGGGGTGGTGCTTACTGGGAGGGATCCCCAGAAGGGTGACAGGAACTCTCCTCCCTCAGCTCCTAACTCCACGTGCTGCCTCTGCCCACAGGCACCGCCCCCACAACTCCCATTGGCCGTGGTTCCCAGCTCCCATTGGCTGTGGTTCCCAGCCAATGGGAGCTGCAGAACCGGAGCTTGGGATGGAGCAGAGGCAGCACATGAAGCTAGGAGCTGGAGGTCACTGCTTCCCAGGAGCTGGGCAGGGAACCTGCCTAAGCCCCGCCAACACCCCACCACCACCACCACCTGTGGCGTCCCCCCAGGCCGCGACCTCCCCCGAGACCCGTGGGATCCCCCCGGGCCACGCATCCCACCCCCACTGGGCTGTACCCTCCCCCCCTCCAAGTATCCAGGGTTCCCCGCAGGTCGCACCTGCAGCACCCTCTGGCCACCCTCCATCCCCTTGAGCTGCACCCCCCAAGTTTTAGTCAGGGGTATATAGTATAAGTCATGGACAGGTCACGGGCTGTGAATTTTTGTTTACTGCCTGGGACCTGTCCATGACATTTTTACTAAAAATACCTGTGACTAAAACATAGCCTTAATAATATCTACATCCGTGATTTTGAAGAAAAAAAAAAAAAGATCAATTTGTGGTTCAAGACATGAAGTCAAGGAGAGAGGGATTAAAGCTCTTGGTCAGGTGGTTAGTTTTAATAAAAAATGTCACAAATATCTTAGGTCAAAATATTCATACTTGAGTGCTTAAAGTTAGGCACATAAAACCCTATGTAGGCATCTAAATAGTGGCCTGATTTTCAAAAGTGAAAAGTGTTATAGCCTCCATTTGAAATTTATGGAGCCACAGGCACTGAGCATCTCTGAAAATAAGATAAATGTAGATTTAGGTGTCTAACTTTAGACATTCAAGCATAAAATTTTTTGTCTTAGTAACTAATTTCTAACGTCTTTGTTAAGGCTGGTGGTTATCATTTAAAATTTCCTAGTGCTTGAACTGGCAACCAGTTCTACCACCTGTAAATGATAGGCCCCTTCCTTCTTCCTTGTCATAAATTGGTTTGCTGACCAGTTATATGAAAGATCCATTGCTCTAAACAATGCATAGGGAATTTTCCAATATTGTCAGAAGTGGTGATGTGCACAGACAAGGGATTTTCACAAAAGGAAAAAGGAAAAGGAACCAGAGAAGAAATCACCCAGTAGACCTAAACCATCAGTGCTGGTAAACATGCCAGGTTTTCCTCATGACAAGTGGTGAGACACACCCTCTTGTTGGTAGCACAGTTTCAAAAATGTAGTTGGCATCTTGTAGCCACAAGACCCCCTAGTGAATATATAATGTTAAGTGAGCATATTTCTAATAGCAATCAATCACTAAAAGCTAAATAACCTGGAATATCACAATGTTATAATGGTTTCAGGTCTGTATACTTGATTTATAATTGTGAAGTTTTGGGTTTTTTGATATCTATAGATATAGATATTTGGGTGAGTGGATGTGTATCTGTGTACCCGAAAACATTACAATATATAGTTATATATACACAATATTTATTTATTTATATTTTTACAGCCCCTGAAGACGTACAACCACCTACAGCTATATCCTTTCCCACTTTTTTACTACTGAGTTGGAGTCCTCCAAAGAGACCAAATGGTATTATAACACAGTATGCTTTATACATGGATGCTGTATCAATCTACACTGGAAATGGAACTAAATACATTGTCAAAGGTGAGTTATATAGTGGTGACTCCTAAGATGGGTATGTCACAGTCATTGGGCTAACTGCACACCTAACCCTTCCTGGTCTTGTCAAATGCACCCTCCTCTCAGTTCTCAGGCCTGTAGCTGTCACCTGTGTTGGGGTGAAAGCACATGGTTCTTCTGCTTTAGGCATGCATCGTAGATTGCCATCCCCAAATCCTAACTGTGATTGCCTCAGCAGGCCTGATGTGTCTTTGGAGCCTGCAGTTCTGTTCCTTTCGGGAGCAATGACACCAGTGACAAGACACCCTTCTTATAGCAAAGTATTGATGAGAACAAAAGAATTTAAGAGAGAAACAGATCTTGTAATAGTAAAAAAGACCAAATACATGTCTCGTTTACAAGATATCTAACCATTTTCCACATGGTGATCCTGGTAGTTCTAGCTTCCTTATAGACTCCTCCACGGAGCCTCGCTCTGTCTGGGTGATCATCTATTCCCTTAACTCACAAACCAGTAATTCCCTCCCTGACTTGGGGAGTCTTTAAATCTTGCTCAGTCCTTTTATAACCCCCCCCCCCTTTACAGAAATCAAGTCTCCTTTTAACTTTTTATAGTCCTTTGATCTGGTAACTTTCAGCTTTGGCAAAACGAGGCTTGAAACTTGTTGGAGATAGGAGGTAAGATCTCCCATTTTCCCCATTGTCTTTCAAATGTGTGCCTGGATGGCCTTATCTGTGTTGCCTTCCTGCACAGCCCCCATTGAATTTGAGCATATAATAAACATTTCACTACCTCCAATATAACTTGTACAGTCTATCACAATATCTATTTTACATATCTTTATCCTTAGATGATTACATAGCAGCCCCATGACCCTCATTGGCTGTTTGTATTGATGTACAGTCATCTGACATCTTACTTTCACTTTAACCTTTTGTTTCATCAGCATACCACAAATTAGTCATTCAGGATTATCAGACAATAAAAATAATGAACTATGTGTAGCCTTGTGCAGCAAAAGGAATAGTCTAGCCCAGTCACAGTTTTATGCATGTTTGTAGATAGGTGTAAAACCAAAAAAGATATTAAAATCAGAATCTACCCAGGATAGAGGAGGGTCAGGGTCTTACTTTCTTTTTACTATAACACTTTAGCATACTATAAGACCTCAAAAACATTTCTGCATTTTGAGTTAGTACAAAACATTTTAAAAAATGCATAGTTCAATTTTTTTTTATTTGCACAGGCCATAAGCTACTAGTGCGGTGGGTCAGTTCTGACACTGAAAAATGAATCCAGTTAGAGAACCTCCTGAAGGCTGTTGATGTTTGCTATAATAAATAGCGCACACTTTAAGTCAAACTTTTTCATTCTGTATTCAAAGGTAATGGATTTTTTGTAACCATAGTAACCTTGTTGTATTTCTGGATAAATACATGAGGTATATACATTCTGGTTTTATTTTTGAATATAAACTACCACATTATATATTACTAATAATATGAAAAATACGATATAGGTTAGCATAATGACAACTTAAAGTAGTATGCATTTTTCTTCTGCAAAAAATAAATATTTATCAAAAATATAGGTTCAATTAGTTTCACCCCCCTCCCTCCACCCAGTTTTCTGGTATTCTTGTAGTACCATTTATCTTTTTTTCAAGATCTCCATTAATCTCTTATTACTGTCCCATAACATTATTTTTAAAAATTTGGAAGCAGAAATATATGTGCTTCCAGTCTTCTTATTAAAAACATTATTGAAAGATTTATGCTGATGTTGTTACTAGGGTTGTGCTCTGCCCCGTAGCATGTATTTGCAAAATGGTCATGAATTGGAAAGTGTGAAAAACATTTTTGGAATATGTTCACCATACTAGTGATTTTTGAAAAGCGCACATCAGATTACATCATGACTGATAACTACTATCTAAGCTGTAATGAAGAGTTATCTATTGAAACTGCAGTCAAGATAATTTTTATAATTTTCCTACCAGCAATTAAGGGTAGGCTACTCTCAAAAGCCTCAATATTTGGCTCATCATCCAAAATGTTGGACGCTTATCTGAGACTTTTCCAGCCAGACCTGATTCTGTAAAACTGGCCTAAAGAACAGACTTTTAATGACATTTTTAGTACTTGTTTTTGTGGTCATATCTGGAAATAACGCAAGAACCACCTTTCTCACAGTAATGTAGCATTTCTGTTTCTGCTCCTGGCACAAACATTTATATGAACATTTCAGTACCTTAATGTAAGTTTGGTTTCCCTTTGTTTTTTGAAATGGGCAAAGGTTTACAGTTTCAGTCCCTGAATTTGATTACTGCAGAAAATATATTGATAGGTCTACTAGGAAACTCCCCATCTCCCCAGAGACAGCAGGACTCAGTTTCACCAAAATGGGCCTAGCTGATTGCAACTCTGATAGAGTCAAAGACAATTTTCAGAGGGCAGGCCAGCTTAGTTCACTGCCTGTAGTCTAAATAGGTCTTCTCTTCCATGTGAAAGCCCCTACTATTGCCCCATTTAGTGTTATTCAGTAAGACCCAGTTTCCTTCCAGTGGGGTCCCTGCTTCTCACCAAGAGTGCACCATACTTGTAAATCTCTTGCTTTTTAATTGATATTAGTTGCTAAATGGAAGGAGATTGATAGTCTCCTCATCTGAACTGGTGGAACATGAGTCACTTTCTTATTCTCTCTTACCATATGGGACAGGACATGTATGACTGTTTGCTCCTTTGCCGCCTTTATCTTGCTGCTGATTTCTCACTCTGCTTGAGGTGTGCTGGAAATGTGGAAGGAGCCCAGGGGAAGAAATGTGATCTGAGTCAGAAGGTTGGGATTTAGGTCACCAGAAATCCAAGTCATTCTGACTCAGGACTATTCAGATTTCTAGCCCAGATTTATGCTTGGCTCTAATTTTAATCAAAGAAATGTCATTTTTGTTGCTAAAGCAGAAGAGCCTTTGTTTCCTTACAGAACCCACAATCTGCTCCTTTGTAGGCTGGAGGAGTCATTACAAAGTGGCATGAAGTAATGTTTCTTCTCCAAGGGTTATATCTGTACAGTGATAAAATCAAAGGATTAAAAGCCAGATTTTGGGACTCTCCAGTTTTGTGTCTGTCTCTCCTGCCTGTTGTTTTGTTTGTTTGTTTGTTTTTGCTTTGAGTGTGAAGGTTAGTGCCGTTGGCTTTTACTGATCATGTGCATACTGGTTTTTCAGAGGCGTATAATTTGGCCAAATTGGGTAGATTTTCCTAGGGACAACAAAAAGCACCTCTCTGGCCCCTAGGGAACGCCCCTTGCCAGAGCATGGAGTCTCTAGAGCTTCTTAATGAAACATTTGTAAGATTTTTTTTCACATTAGCAAAACAATGTGGTTTTCTCTAATATCATTCTCATAAATGGCTGACCTGTTTTAGCCAAAACATTTTTTTTTTAAATCAGCTCAAGGCAGACAGCATGGAAAGTTTCAGCACAAGTGGTTAAAGTTTGGCAAAGTTGTAAACAAGTGAAAACTGTGTTTTATAATGAAAAGTGTCAGACAACCTTAACTCTAGGCATTGCTGCCAACACAGCTTATAATGTGCAAAGAAATAATAATATAGCACAAACTTTTCTGAGGAGATTGCTAGTGATGGTTGATTGTCAAAATCTGAGCAAAATGTCTCGCTCCCATGTCATCTGAGAGCTGGCTACCTTTGTGAGAAAAGTTTCTCGTAAAAGCCTGTAGTGAAAATAGTCTTCTTTTCTATAGTGAAACACATTGGATTATCTAACCTGGTGAAGACAAGAAAGACATTACTTGTAGATATATGTGTGACACACAAAATGTTTATATTTCCATCACTGTAGAGTGTAATCTCCAACTTTGACACTGCGCACACTGAGGATGTAAACGTCTGCATTTTCTCCAGCACTGCATATTTGACACTGCTAACAAATTTGGTTCATTTAATTTCTCTTGCATGTAGTAATGACTCTGATTGTGAATCCTTAAAAGAAAAATATTCCTATTAATACTCATCTGATTGAAACTGTTGTTTTCTGTGCCACACAGTAAGAAAGCATAGTGTTTGCAGTATTTCAGGAAAGGGATACTTCACCAAACAAGTCACAGGGCCAGATTTTCAGCTAGCTCAATAGAGCTGTGCCAGTTTACAACAGCTGCGGCTCTGGCTCACATTCGCTGGCTTTCTACAGTTAAATTACAAATAATAATCTTTTCTGGTGTCTGGGATATGTCGCTTTTGATCATTTAGTTTTTCTGGAGTATAAAAACAAGGGTAATCCTTAGAAAGAGAGAGAAGAAGATAACCTGTAGGAATAAGTAACAGTTTGGCTGGCTCAAGTAGAGTGACCAGGTGTCCGGTTTTGGACCCAAATACCCAGTTGAAAAGGGATGCTGTTGGCTCCAGTCAGCACCGCTGACCGTGCCATTGACTGTCCAGTTGGCAACGCTGCACAGAGGGGCTGGCAGGCTTCCTGCTAGCCTCCGCGCCGTGTGGCTCCTGGAAGCAGCGGCATGTCCCCCTCAGGCTCCAACACGTAGGAGCTGCCAGGGGGCTCCGCACGCTGCCCCCACCCCCAAGTGCCACCCAGAGCCTGCCCCCCTGCCCCCCTCCTGGGCCCAAACCCCTGCCACAGCCCTGATCCCCCTCCCCCCTCCAAACCCATCAGTCCCAGCCTAGAGCACCCTCCTGCACCCCAAACCCCTCATCCCCAGCTGGAACCCTCTCCCTCCCTCCCACATGCCCCAACCCCCTCCCTAGCCCTGATTTCCCCCTCCTGCCCTCCGAACCCCTCGGTCCCAGCCCAGAGCACCCTTCTACACCCCAAACCCTCATCCCAGCCCCACCCCAGAGTCTGCACCCCCAGCCAGAGTCCTCACACCCCCCTGCCTCAGCCCAGAGCCCCCTGCCATACTCTGAACCCCTTGGCTCCACCTCGGAGCCCCCTCCTGCACTCCATACCCCTCATCCCAAGCCGGCACCCTCACCCCCTCCCACCTGAGCCAGCC